TTTATCGTTCGGTCCGCACCCTCGACTTTTTCTTTTCTCTCTTTCTCTTGGATACGTTTCTCTTTGGCTACTTCTAGCTCTCGAGATTAGTACTCGGCTTTTTTTGGATTATTCGTATTTCTATCGAGTTATGCTACTTTTCTCTCTCACCATTCGAATACGTACGCTTATCCGTATTTTTCTTTTACAATAAGGTAATAATTACCATCATTAATTGGTTATCTTCGACTAAATACAGAGTAATGAATATGTAAAGTGAATTTCGGACACTTTTTTAAATAAATGTTTGAATCGCTTAGCGAAAATCGATGTATTTCTTATAAGTATCACTGTACTTCAATGACAGAACTGGAATATACATATTTATAATCAAAAAGAATTGGTTGTGCAATTATTTGCTGACAAGCCTTAAAAACTGTGTTTGAAAAGTATTTAAACAGCGCGTTTTGTAATTTGGTCGTCATATTGTTGGTAAAACCTGCAATGGAAGCCGATGAAAGTTGCTTATAACTTGTAATAAAATTCAAATTAATCTTTATTCGCCAAAATAAATCCACCAACAATATTTGTTTGTGCTTATTAATGTAGGTAACCTAAACAAATAGATAATTTATAATCGAGAAGGATCTTTACAAATCTTTTTTGATGCAGTAGATTTGTGCTCGAAGAAAATGATTGGGTCCATTGTCAATGCCTTTCTTTAAAGTTCAGAAATAACACGGCTAAGATTCAAAAACTCTTGGTATTTTTGGTCTTGTATCTGATTCAAAACTCTTTTCGTTGTTTCACTTGGTTTATGCATGTTCCAGAACTTTGAAAGAAGTAAGAGTATAATATATTTATAGTTATTTCCTTTTCATTATATACTTTAAAATATTTATTAACGTTCTAAAGTGAATAAAGCCCATGCCTCGGAGATAAACGTAACTGCATTTGGAAAAACCAATCGAAGCGTGAGCCTACACAAAAAGAGAGAGGGATGACATTTATGCGGAGTCGCGCGATGCCCGCGGGGTATCTAGTCGAATGTCGTTCAACCGTCGTACTATACTCCCAAGGAAAAATCCCTGGTGACGCTCACTCAATCATACGATATTTTTGTGTCGCCCTCTCATGCGAATCAAAAACCCGTCGGACGTTATATCTTGGTATCTCGGCTTCGTCTAATCGCTCGGTAAACGCCGCTCGGATTCCGTGCGGGAAAAGGGTTTACTTGCGACGAACCGTCATTCCATTCTTTGCCTATATCAGGCTTCGTCTCCACTTTTTTGCGGATTCCTCTGTGTGCTAAATATTGACGGGACTCATCTTTTTATCTAATAGTCGTTGTTTGCACATCAAATGATATTTAATGGACATACAGTAGTTTTTGCCCTTATTTTTCATTATTTCTACCAGTTAACATTCCGCTCTATTGTCAGTTGGTTGAATTTAGCGAAGTGAATTGATCGAATATTTTTTTCGTGTGACTCACGGGAACAACGCAACGTAAAACGACAAAGCGATAAATCAATCCAGAGGAAGTTCTTTTTTTGGCAGACATACAACCATCCTCTTGTCCGTGATAGCATATACATAACTGTAAGTCGCTTATGATTGGCTGTCGTACACTGTTCATAATTCGACTTGGTAGGAGCGACCAAGTTATTTTTTCTTTCGGGATAAATGACGGTTTCGCCCCTTTTTCTCGTACTCTGTTGCGAAGAAACAACGCGCGCGCCCATTGTGCGTCTATCTATTCTGACAGGTGGAAATAGACGATCAACCCCCAACAATGATAGTCTTCTTTCCTCTTGTGGGATTTGTCGCTCGTGTTTCTCCCGCTTGCCTAATTTTTTTTCTCCTTTCTTGAATTTATTGACTTGTACGCGCAACCAAGCTTTTTCCGAGGCTTTGTATTCTCTTAGTTTCGCGTGCGTTTGAATTATACTTTTGATTTATGTTATTGTAGTTTGTTAATTTTATCGATTCAGATAATTACGGGATTCGATGAAATACGTCGAGCGACTGTCTTACGCAATAAAATTTATTGGCGCATTTTTATTCAGAAGACTCATTGTGCAATCTACACTTTCACTTCCTTATGCAGAGCTGCTGAGACACTCGTGAGCTCTGCAGTAATGATGACGTTTAATTGTCTAACGTAAGCGGCTTCAATAAGAGCGAAAGCAATTTATCAGGTGCACGTCTGTTTTCATTCGTTATTGCATAAAATTTCGATGGGATATGATATAAACAGTTCACAATTACATTTTTCATAAATTGCTAGCTCTGATTAATTTAGCTGAAATGAAATTAGCTGAAATTTAGCTGAAAATCAGTGTACCCCTTTTCGCATTGATGAGAAACAGGAAAAATCGATGTGTTGAACCTTCAAAATAAGTATAAAGTGCTTCTGAATCGCGTATAAATTGAAAAATGGTGACGAAGCAAACTAAACTTCATTAAAACGCAAGAAATTTCATAGCGTCAAAATATATCCATACGAAACCAATTCCTCGGGCAGTTTTCTCGAGATTTCCCTGCAGCTAAAAAGCCGCTCGGATCTCGGAAAACAAGAGGAAAGAAAAGTTGGAAAGAATGCAGGAAAAGTCCATTTCGGAATCACGCCTCGGAAATAAATATCTACGGCTATATCGTCGGCCGGACGGGGTTGCTCTGGAAGCCACTGCCGCGGCGCGCGGCCGATATTATTTATGGGGTGACGCTGGCGTCGGGCGGCGGCGGCGGCGGCGGCGTGCCATGCATGGACAGTGGCTCATTCGCGCGCCTGCGACAAATGGCTCATTTTTCCGGTCTCGCCACGTTGCGTGTGCCCAGCTATTTCTTAATATTCCATTCTCTCTCTCTCTCTCTCTCTCTCTCTCTCTCTCTGGGTATTATCATTGCTCTATATATATCGACGATCGAGTCGCCATAGTAACCGCATGCGCAGAGAGGACACCTTTGGAAAGTTTTTCGGAGTGGAGGCGGGCGAAAGTTTTCACGCGAGCGTATACTTGTGTATATACGGTGCGAAGGGAAGCTAGTGTGAGTCAACTCTTCTTGACACTTTGCCGCGGTTATGAGAGTTGGATGGATGAAGATTGATTGTCTTCGCTAATGCGATTTTCTGCCTAAGATTATTATATACTATCGCGCGATAATTAATACGTTACGATATTTTGCTTTTAGCGACAGACGCCAGGGCTGTTAAGGTTCTAATCGCACAATTTCTCGAATTATCCTGGTCTAGCCGATATAAAGCCAAGCCAAGATTTGCGGATAATATTAGGTTGATGATCGGGCATTTGATAATAATTGTACAACGCAGTGATACTTTCCTTAAACTGCAGCGAATCGATTTGCAAGTCTTCGCGAAAACAGCAGAGTTACGAAGACACCAAAAGGGAATCCGCAAAAAGTTGGGCGTGATTCTCATCGCGAATGGAAGCTGAGGCGCGAGTTGCGCGATCGCCGTGGGCAGGTTTTTTCTTTGCGAGGCGCATCCGCGTGACCGCCAGGGCGTTCGCTCGATCCGTCGCGCTTTGTATTCGCAACGCGGATGCGCGTCGCCACTTGGCCTTGCTGGCCCTCGAGAGGAAGCTCGACGTCGATTCTCTCGTCACATTCACTGGGGAGCGATAGTCCGGCGAAGGCCAACAAATTTGAGCGGAACGTCGAAAAAAAGACGGAGCTTCCCTCGGCCGCGCGCATAACGCCCGGCTGCGCATTTGAATCCCATCCCGACGACTTGTCGTGTCTACGGTACGATCATCCGGGGAGCGATTCTTCCCACGCACAATTTACAGTTTCACATTTTATTCCCTTCGCGGCTTACCGAAGGGCTCTCGCGCTCGGATAAACTCGTTTTGTGTCTTTGCCGCAGCAGAGGGATGAGCTTTTACCCGTCGCTCTCTTGCTCTCCTCCTCATCCCGCACCACTGCCTACGACCTGTGCTTCAATTCGATATTTTATTTGCTTTTCGGACGCGAATAAGCGCGCGCTCGAGTCCGCGCCTGCGAGAAATTACAGCGAGAAAGTTGGTCGAGTGGCGGGTGGTGTGGCAGCGAGCCGAAATCACGATCGGCAACGCGCGAGCGCGGCGTGCAAAACGAGCCTGCTAATTAAATCATGCAGCTTGAAATCGTAATTAGTTCGCCGGTGCTATTTCATCCGGCCGCCGCCGGCAAGCCCGAAGCGAGAGAGGCCTCGCGGCCGCCGATCCCCTCGCGCCGCAGAAAAAAGTGTAAATCGGACATGCTCCGAGAGGCTCGTCGTAAAGACCATTACGCTAGGCCAGCCTCTTCGCTTCGTCATTGTCCGTGCTCGCTCGCTCGCTTTTTTACCTTCATTAACATTCGGGAGGGGTAGGGGAACCACCCACCTGACTATATAGGGACCGACAGATTGTTGCTGCCTAATTTTGGGGCTGCTTCAACTTATTGCAGAAATTACAAGTTTCGGACTTTGAAATCTGGATGACGGACGGCCCTACATTTTCATTCTCAACAGTTTTATTTAAGGTTCGTTAATATAGAGATAAGCGTTTAGTGATTCCGAACGTATGCTGATGAAATATTAGATCCATACTTCAACGCGCTCGACCGACCTACATTCGTTTGTGAATTTAGTAGTCGAGATACAAAGTAATTCAAATGTACGAAACTATAAGTGTTATTCAATTTTTAAGAATCCATTGTTCTGCTCAGTCATTCCGACCGATCAAGATTAACATCATTATTTTAATCTCAATCATTTCAATTACCTTAGTTGGGAAGATACGCGCATCCGATATACATATTAGAACTGCAAGAAAGTTTTTTTATGCTCTTTCGTGCCAAAATTCTTATAACTTTTTTCATGTATGAGACTTGGTTTCGTGTCACCAAACAATAAATGAATACAATGTATCGTCGTTAAACTAAATTTTAAGCTGACGATTATCTCTGATTAAGTGTGATGATTACATTTATCTTACTTAGATCGTAGAATGATAACCAATTCATTAATGTTGCAGCTTGTGACGTTTGACAACTAGTCGACATAAAAGCTGGATTGCAGGAATAAAGCAAACATTCATCGGAGGAAGCACGATGTCTAACTATCGATTTTCCATATACACTGCAATATTGTTGTTAAGGTAAAATATTGCAATTATCAAACACTATAAAGGTGTAGGTAAAACTTTTATACTAATTATTATTATTTTCGTAGATGTCGTCTTGAGAAGTTATTCAAAGTTGGATACTGTAAGAAAATATACACATATTGAATAAATAAGGACAGTCCATTTAAAGCGAAGGTAATATGATAATATAGCGATTCAGTGTCTATAGCTATATATTATTTGTTGAAAATGATTTGATCATTTTAACAGTTAATCGATAAGCAACAAACTTTGTAGAATAGACCCAGGCCGTAAGTAACAGTCTCTTTGTCTCCTATAATTTGGTGAAAGAGAGGCGATACATTAAGCAAACAGCATTACATTAGCGGACTGATCAAACATTTCACGCTGCGTAGGTCTACAAGTCAATTGGTTGTGGGCACATACAGCACACGCGATGCAAGTGGTACGAAGTTTGGCTCGGAAAAGAGAAGAGAAAGAGGCGCGTCATTATAACTTTTTGGTTTGGCTCCCTCGAAAAATTTATTGAAATCGCCCAAGTTTTCAGGAGCCCATTGGATGTTTGCACAAGCGGGTGCAATTATCCGACGATCTATGACTGGCTCATGGTGCGCGCTCTATAGAGCTTAAGTATCTTGGCGCACGTTATTTCGCCATTGTTTCTGCATTCTCGAAACATTGATCGCTAACTTACTCTTATAACGATCTATCTATTCCTCGATTTATGACTTGCTTTCACATGTCTTCTTCTTCCGCAAAACTTTTACTATTAACTCGGAGAAACATACGGTCATTAAAATAGGCATTGTATATATTAATATTCATTGCTTCACATAATTTAATGATACGCCGTTTAAACATAATGAGATTAAGATGCCTTTATCTTGTTCGTTATAATTGATCTTTTTTTACCAAATGGATAATTAGTTTATAAAAATTTTTTTTAAATATACAGCCGAACTTCATTACTGATATTTTTTTATAATGTAACCTATCAATAGACTTCATCCTTTAACTTCTAATAAATATATAGCTAATTATTATTTCGAATCAAACGTTAACCTTTTATGTTTTAATTATTTGACAACCGTTGCAAGAATTAATTTAAAAAATGAAATAACTTAATAACATAATCCAATTACTAATCGTTTGAGTCATCTAATAATTATTTTAAAGTTAAAAAAAAATTGTCTTTATCGCCAGAATCTCGATGGATCCGTTTATATTTTTTATATCTGCGCTGCAGTGCATTAATTAATTATGAGTCTATGAACGATCAAATTAACTTTACATTTATATAATATAGTATATAATATTCTATCGTTATTAGCGAACATTTATAAAGCAACTAATCTCATTTGCATTGCAGATTATCAAGTTTACAATGATTATCTTGCCTTGATTACCTAAAACTTTATAACGTTTACAAAGAAATCGCGAAGACATAAATTTGACGGAGAAAATCTAATCGTCGGGCGAGTATTATCCATTAGCTTTACGTTGCGCGGAGAGAGAGAGAGAGAGAGAGAGAGAGAGAGAGAGAGAGAGAGAGAGAGAGAGAGCAAGAAAAAATCCACGGCGGCAAAAGAAGCGTCATAACCAGTCTTCAAGATTCATAAAAGTAGCCTTTGAGCGAGGAACTCACTACGTAGCAATTACCTAGGTTGAGTGGCTAATGCCGCGGGCACTTCACGTCGGTGGCTGAGTACCTGCCACGAACGTAAGCGCCGGAGCTAATGTAGGCATCGCGCTGCCACCACTTGACGCTCAAATCACTTCATTACAGAAACACATTATCTCCCAGGCGTAATATCAGCAAAAGAATGTATCGCACTAATGCCTTCTTTCATAATATTGAATGTTGTTAGGACATAAAATTGGATCAGTTAATTGACGCGAGGTGTCGTTTGTGTCTTGTGTTGAGTGCATTTTGACAACTAATTGTTGTATTTTACTGGCAGCTTTACGAAAAATATCATTTTAGTTCAAAGTTTCAAGAAGATAAATAAATTGGAAGTTTTGTTGAAACTCATTCCATTGCATCCTGAAGTTCATCTTCCGCAGTATCAATTCAATTATTTATTCTGTTTAGGAAGTGTAAATAAATTCCTAACTACGATTAAACACCATTCGGATTTTGTTCAAAACAGTGTATTAATTCAAATTAATGTTAATGATTAAAAATATAAAATAGAGCATAATTAAGAACAAAGATAAGATGTCACTCAACAACAAAAAACACTGCATTAATTGACAAATTACAATCGATTATATCGCAACTAAAATAATTTATGAAATTAACGAAACTAATAGTATTTCTCAAGTTATTGCGATCAACTTTGTGAAAACACTTATCAGTGTACACGTATATCTATGAACGACACTTGCCTTGACAAAAGCCAAAAGATTTCTGACAGACGACTGCTGAACGACTCCAATTATTAAACCCTTTCTCTCTTCCGTCATTTCTCTGTCTCTGTCTCTCTCTCTCTCTCTTGTTTGAGTATCAGAGCTTTCTTTAATTTTCTGGTAGGATAGAGACGTAGTCAACTTCTTATTCTACGATTCATATCATTTCGATGTCGCCTTGCAAAGCATTTATTGGTGGAAATTAATTTTAGAAAGTTCCCTTTTCGATTTTCAGCCTCAAAAATTAGGTTTCCAATCTATAGAGAGAAATGGCGTTGCGTACATTGATTTTAGTTATACACATGCTCATATGGCTAGCTGGAGTTGATTAATAGCAGCTTGATAATTCCGTTATATTTGATAATCGAAATAGACTGGTTTGATAAAAATGTGTGATGTACCAGGGAGCCTGCTTCTCGAGTTGATCCCGATGCAATTGACATATTCTCAAATTGTATTTGATCTGTTTGCATCACGCTTATGAAAAATTCGACTCATGTCAGAACACACCATCCAGAGAATTCGCATTCATTTCTCTACATTGATCGTTTTATGCGTGTCATGTGATCTATTGCTCGGTCAATAATAATTATTTTCATAAGAAATTAAACGTTCATTCTCTTATTCTACTTACACTTTATTTATATACAACATTGACAGATCGATTATTGATATCGATGTTGCGATTGAAGTATTTAATTTTAATTTGTGTTGTCAATTAAATGCTTAATCTGATCACACTTTTCCTCTTTCTATTTTTTTACAATTTTGTCTCGTTGCTCACTTTACTAAATTTCGTTCGCATGATTGTAAGCATTGCATCGATGAGATTCGGGCGTAGGCGACTCGAGCGAAAGTTAATAACCATTTGTCTCTAAATTTGCGGATGTTGGCCCGCGATGACATTTGATCGTGCAGTCCTGAAATTCAAGCTCGAAGATTCTGTAGGCGTGCATATAGATCGAGAACTGATTGCCCGACAAAGGGGAAAAGACAGCCAAATATAGCGAACCTGCGTCGTATGTCTACATGAAGAATTAGAAAGAGATCCGGTTATAACGTACTAACAATAAGTCGTAATGGTTAAGACTTTGAAAATTTCGTGCAGCCATTGCGATTAAAAATGTTAAAAAGTAATCTGATCAACCAGCTATCGGAACGATATTTGTGCGATCTATTCTTGGAAAGTTCTCCAGTAGATGTCGTATGAAAAGCACAAAACATTTATCGAATACACATTAGGATATAAAAACTTGATAATTATGGTTGCGCGATGTTATGTTTTGAAAGTGATGGAATATTTTCTTTGTTCCAACGATAATACGAATAGTTTCTTGAATTGAAACAGTAAAACTAGAATCAAAGTTCCATTTAGTGGAATAAGCCGGTGAGCATTAAGTGAGTAGTAAGAAAAACCAAAAAAATCAGATAAAACGCCCGCAAAGTGTGATCGCTCGCATTGCAGAAGAAAGGGCGGCGAAGGCGGCTGAGAGAGAAGGGGGTTAAAATCGCGCTAAAGGGGGATGGGATTCGAGGTCGGTGAAGCGTGGCTTAAGATAAACCCTTCATCCGTTTCTTGCCGGGCCGAGCGATCTTCTTCCTACTTTCTTCTCTCTTCCTCGTCATTCGCCCTTTAATGTTACTTTGATCGATGTGTCTTCGCGTACTTCCAGAATATTACGCTTCCTCCGCGCGCCTATCGACATTTATTTAAACGCCGATACGATGGCGATTTTACTCCTCTCTTTCTCCCTCTCTCTCTCTCTTGTAAAATCGTTTATTTCGTTTTCGCATTTTCAAGAAAAATTGAGCAAAACGTTGAATACGAGAAAGCACCAAATCCAGGCTTTGTTAAACGATCCATTGCGTGAAAGTGACTTTAGTTATAAAATGTAATAATTGACGTTGCATTCAGCAGGAAGTCATTTGGCACTGTCAAATTAGTCATCGAATGAACAATGTGATCATTTTTATTTTCGCTTACTTTACAGGAGTGAGTAGAAAAAATGGCCGCGAGTCGAACTCGCTTTCGGAAATGGGGAAGAACATCGGTCCCCAATAAAAAAAAGAAAAAGATATAGCAATAATTTCCATCAGCGTCTAGACACAATCGAAACTCCAATGCCGATGAGGAGTATCCTCGGCAATAGCGCGAGTCTTCAATACCCAATCAAGTTTGAAAATAAGGTACTTGCACGTTATAACGACAATAGCTAAGTGAGATCACTTGGCCTTAAGCATTCCGACTTTATGCAGCGTGCAGAGCGTTCATCTCGCCATTGGTCTTTAATTTCACGCTGGTGAATGCTCCGGCGCTAGCATAGGTCCTCCGCGCGAGCTCGTGGGTTTCTTTTTCCTCAATCCCCCCACCAGCGTTGCCTCTTTTCTATCTGCGCGCGCTTGCTCCCGCTTCGAGCATTTCATCTCCTATCTCTCTCTCTCTCTCTCTCTCTCTCTCTCTCTCTCTCCTTCCTCCTTCCTCCTTCCTCTCTTTTCCTAATGTTCTTTTTTCTTCGAGTTTTATAGGCTCTTTTAACTTTAATTGCTTTATTTTTATTGTTTACTTTTTCTTAGTTATCATGATTTTTTCTCCCCATCCCCACCCTGGATTTATTGCTCATAAAATTGCTGAAGCTAGTCTAATTATCTATTAACCGACTCGGCGCGGATAATAAGAAATTTTAAATCTTTCTTCGGTCCGAGTTTATTGCTTACTTCTTCATCTCATTGTGTATAAGTACTCTTTCTTTTTCCCTTTTTACCGTCAATATTTTCGAAAATCATTGAAAAGCACCAAATTAAATGCTTCATCACAACTCTTTTTTTCTATATGTTTTCCTCACAGATTACACTATTGGTTAAATACTAAAATTTGCTGTATTTCCAGGCAGCCGAGCGAAAGCCACGTCCACAGCATCCGCGGCAATCGATGCGATGATCGGCGCGCGTACATATGCAAGGCGGAATGAGAAAGGAGGAAGCCGCTCGCTCGGTGCTTCCAGCTGGCTGAATTGACGATATCCTTGGCTGACCGTATTTTCTGGCGGAGTTTCACGGGGCAGAACAGATCTTGCTCCATCTCTCTCTCTCTCTCTCTCTCTTTCTCTCTCTTTCCTCGGTGGAGCTTCGCGCGGACATATATCAAGCAGTTATTGCGGATGCTACGAGGACTCATAATTTCTCCAGCTTCGTTTTGTTTCTGTTGCGAATTGAGCAATGAGACGAACAGAAAATCGCGTTGAGAAAACTGATGCGTGGGAGAGCAACGCGTGAGCAGCGGCAGCGGCGCCGGCCGACAAGAGGGCCGATACTGTCGAGATGTTAAGGATGATAAAGGTTAGAGAAAGACGGACAGCGAGTAGGAATCGTTGTACGATTGGAAGGGAGAGAAAAGTGAAATAAAACTAGCAAGGCCAATGTAATGTACGAGGAGCGCGCATGTCTGACTAATTAAGGCTGTTACTACTGGATGCTGTGCCGGCGATCCCGCTAGCGTCCTTAATTGACGCGTGGATGCATAAAAAGTCACAATTATCCATCGACCTGTTGTAAATACTGAATAATTGATAAATTGTTGCGAAATTTCGCTGACTAACTGCGCGATCAGTCAACCTTTCGTTACGCAACTCGCGGAGAGCCAACGTTGTTATGTTAAGCGTCTAAGCAGTCGTTCGCGAGAACAACAAATGCGCAATTCTTCCATGAAAAACGAAAATAAAACGACGATCCAGTAAATAGAGAGATAAAAAAGAAGAAAAAAGCGAACTCGGCTAGTTCCGCAACTTGGCATGCGCTTCGATCGGTTTCTGAGGAACGGAGGCGGCAGCGGCGCGCAACGGCATACACGTGCGATTTCGCGAAAAACCTAATGAATATCGAACGAGTCCGGTGAACGTTGCGTCAGCGTGAGGTGCAATCGAAAAGCTCTCGCAATGGGAAATGCCGAGCGTATCCTTGCGAACAATAAGCGAATTGCCTGCGAGCGCGCGTTTTGCTTTTTGTTCGATCTATCGAGCGAATGTCCCGAGCACGCATGCTAAATAGTCTGTATCACAGCCCGCAGGGAGGTCGGGAGGTTTACCTCATTTTTTTTATCTCTCGCTCTCCCTCTCTCTCTCTCTCTCTCGCGCGCGCGCGCCAGGCGAGTTTTGTAATCAATCGCGCGTTACAAAGCTCGTTTGTATGCAACGCTCGTCGTCGAGCTGCTTATAAGTAACGCGGTAATGACATGGCCTGTCATGCCGGCCGTGCGCGCGCTCGCCGACGGTTGCCGCTTTTCCGCCGGTCCTTTTTTCTTATAAATTTCTCCATTGCGATCGGTTCGTTGGCTTATTTCTTTTTTATCTCTCGCTCGCTGACTCGAGTCTGGCATTCGTATTTCTGTTCTCGACAACATATCACGTAGATTTTCTCATTTGTCCGTATTGTATAATCACATTTATACTTCGATGCCATTCTATTTTAATAATACTTGCGATGATCGAAGCAACCGAACTTTATATGTATAATTTTAAGCATATGTGATTTGTTTGGCTCACTCATCCAATATGCCATATAGCAGTAAACAATATCACAATGATAATATGTTATTTCAATTAGAAATCAATTAGTTGTTAAAAACATAATGTGATCGTTGCATTACCGAATGTTATAGAAAGTAAGCAAATAAAGAATTGCATAAAAGTTGTACCGTTAAGAAAGGGATTTTGCTTTTCTTGTGATCCACCAGTCGATTCGATACGATGCAAAAAAATGTTATGCAAAATCAGCAACTGAGATTAATTATTCAGTTGGTATTAAAATATATTTTTAAGCAATGGTTGTTCGCTTTCGCTTGGTTTAACCCCAGTGAAACACACAATGAAAGCAAGAGAGCAAATTGAAAAGTCGTTACACCGATTACCTAATGTAAGTGTGTGTTATACTTAGAGCAAGAAAAAAAATTACGACGAAGTGTTTTGTGTACGCACAGAGGAAGTAAACGTACGGCCAATTAAAAAAAAATCCTAATATAAAGCTCTCTTTTTCTGGCCTCGTAGCGATTTTTCAAATGGAGAAGCCGCATATCGCTCAGCCTTAATACGGAATAAGAATATTTATTGCCAACTCGCATGCACGTAGAATGAGTAACCGAGTCGGCGCAATTAGCGAAATATTCTGTAAGTCGCGCTTAGAATTGAAATTTTTATGTTGCTTTTAACAACGCCATTCGCCACTTGAACTATTTTTTTGCATATCATAATTAAAACATTAAGATTGCATGAGCTCGGAAATACATCAATCTCGTAAGCAACGTAGCTGCAAAATTTCAAGATGATGGATTATCCTGCACCTTGAGATGTTTATCATTGATTTAAGTTGCTCTTATCAATTTTTTATATTGCGTTGGTACTTGTAAATCAAATTGCGTGATGTAATAAAGCTTATATTGGTAACGTACGTGCAGCGGAATGATTGTCATTTTAATTATTCATGTATCGAATAAAATTAAGAATATTGTTGCACTTGAAATTCATCTCACTATTAATAAAAATCAAGTCTGAACATTCTTCAATAACATTCTCTTAGCAGTTTGTTGCTATTTTGTAAGAAATAACAATGAGATTCGTGCGTTCAGGCACCGTATTACAGCATTCTCCAAACACGATTTCTCGAGCAATTTGTAGAATCAGACAATGTAAATTTCTCTTTGTCGGAATATTAAGGATAGTAAATATGAATTAAACATAGCAAAGAAAACTGTACTAATGTATCTTTAATAATACTTCTGAAACAATTAGAAAACTTGGCATTTTCATAGTACGATCGTGTTTCTGATTGAGCGCACAGTTTCGTTTTTGATCTTACGGTATACTGACAAGATCTCATAATGCACAGTTAAACCAAGCTTTCATATAACGTGAATTTATAGTCCGAATAATTATTCAGTCTGGCGAAGTCAATTGTTGACAGAACCGGCACGTTAAGATTAAGTGATCGGCAAGCTGAGTTCTAACTGATGTAGTGGTTCGGCGACACAAAAAAAAACTACCAACATTCAAAAAATTATCATGCGCGATCTTGTGCAGAATCGCCAAGGACAAAGCGAGCAGACATCCAAGAAAAAGAGAAGAGCGAAGTCTAGATACGCGAAAGGGCAGAATGAAATGCCACAGAGCACTCGTGGAGCTAATGGGGATGAACGCTCGCGATCAGGGCAGTTTTTCGTAGCACGGTTATCGTCGCCGCGCTGGCGCTGTCGATCGATCATTTCGTCGCCGCGCGCTACATTCGGTGCTCCGGCGGAAAAATAGACGAAGCACCGTTCGTCCGATAAATCGAGAGCCGCGATGGCAGGGGAGAGGGCACACGGGTTTTGAGCTCATTTGCTGCGCGCGCGAGAGCCACTTGCATTAGATCGGCGCAATGCATAATGCATCGTGTAACAGCAGCTTCCGCGAAATCCCGACATCTGCGCCGGCGGCAGCAGCGCCGACGAATCATATAAATTTACACGCGACGCTCGTGGCCAGTTTTTTTTTTCTTTCCTTCTTCGCCGTTGTCGCGCAGAGCCCCGCGAGATCTATCGGGTTTTATGGGCAGACGTGATGCCCCGCGCGAGAGACTCTTCTCCGCCGTATGGCGAAAGTACAGTTGCCAGCAGCGTGAAAGAGAGAACAGATTATTTAGTCGGGGAAAAATGCCGAGACGCGCTAACTCGCCGATTGGCTCGACCGATCGGTCGAGGCGGAGATTCCGTTGTTACGCACTGCAGCTCTTTGCGTCGCATTAGATTCGAGCAAACAATTTGCCGTATGCGGTTCTTACGATAGCTTAAGAGCTTTATTTTCTTGTCAATCGTGATGCATGTTTCGACGTATAAGGACATCTTTTTATGGAATAACTGAAAGCTTTAAAGAGTATGGACTCGCTTACTGTTTTATGCTCCTGACCAATTGCGCATCATTTGTAAATGTCAAAAATCATACTACTTCGTACCTTTAATTGAATCTCCAATAATTCAATAGTGATTTTACATAATCAGTAAAATATGAACTGATATACAAGTTACTGTAACAATTAAATCTTTTAGATAGATTGGTAACATATAAAGTAATGAAAATACATTGGTAGTCACGATTATTCGTCGATTACGAATAAACTGTTTTGTAAATAATTACGTGGCTTTTATATATAAACGAATAGTGAAGTGAGAATGTTGTAGCTTTTACACAATTAAAATCTTTTCAAGAACTTTAAGAACAGACTGTCTGATAAATTCATCCATAATACTAAAAAAGCAATTTTTTTTTGTCAATTTTAAAAATATTTCAAGCATTATCACTGTTAGAAATTACAACGATGCTGTTTTGTAATTGAAATATTTTTATTTGCTTTTCATTCTCGAACTGTTTGAATATTTAGGGGGGGGGGGGGGGGGAGGGGAGTGAGTGAGAGATGAAATAAGCAATGGAAGATATTATCAAAAAGTTAATTAGAGAAGAAAATTATACGAGAGCCAGCAGACTTTTTCGTGTAAAATTGTTTATTTTAATAACAATGAAAAACGACATTTCAATGCTAACGAATTTCGAACAGCCTTATAAGGCTCTTATAATTATAATTGTTTGCGAACTACATTACGTGATGGATTTTCTAATTATACCAAATGTGTTCAACAGTCTGATTAAAATCAGCTATGCTCATCGCATCAAGGATCTAATTGAAAATTTGAAAGTTATAAAATGTGTTTGGAGTATGATCAGCTATATACGATGATGTACGCGATGATAAGAATTTCTGAAATTTTCTAGGACAAGATTTGTTGAACCAAAAAAAGTATTATGATGATGTTCGTTCATTCACAGATGGCATATTTATACTGAAATGAAGTTGTCAAACTATGATGTCAAGAAGTATGCGTAGAGAGAAATAAGAACTAAGAAAGAATTGAAAAAACAAAGATCTAATGCTGTAGATGTGTTTGTTTAATTTTACACGACGCGTTGTGCATTCGAAATGAAAAGAGTAGCGAATATCGAAGAAAGGAACGACAGATGAAAGAGGCACAAGTCGGACGGAGAAAAGAAAGTAAAAAGTTGAGGGACAGATTCTCACGATGTAATACCGAAGCGCAGCCCCACGGAGGCGGCGATTATTATTCGTCGATCAATTGACTATAAAGACGAAGAAAAAAAGCCGGGTGATTTAAAAGGAGATGCAGAAACTAGCTCGGGACTCCCCCTCGATATAATCTGAGCGAGAGCAATAAGGCTCCGCTGGCGCGCGCGGTCCCGCACGCCAGTTCGAGTTTGCATCCTCTTCCTCCCTAATAAGCGGTTCGCCGCAGAACAATCCGATTAATTCGCGGCCACTACGCGGGCTTAGGCACATAGGCGCGCGCCTTCGCTCGCTCGCTCGCTCGCGCGTAATCATAGTGTTTCTCGCGGTTGCATCGCTCGGACGTGACTCCGAGCCGCCCGCGTGTATGCAGAAATTACCCTGCCCGCGCTCGCGCTTATTGATACGCGCTCTCGTCCGGGATTTAATTTAACAGCGTGCGCGGCGCACGCAGCCCGCATTCGTCCCCGCGTACGCGGCAATGAGACCGGCAACGAGACTCCCATCTCAATTGACGCTCTATCGGCTCGTCGTTTCATGCCGACCGCGATCGCGCGCTCTTTCTCGCGCGATAATAATGCTAATCAAGTATTTATAAGCACCGCGGGCGGGGAGAACGAGAAAAGGGGAAGAGAGAGAGAGAGAGACGCGTCGAGCGAATCTCTAATGACGCCCGGACACGAAAGTCCTCGGGGGCCCGAGTGGATGATGCGTAGGCGAGAGATGGAGAAAGAATCGCCACCCGCGTCACCCTTTACGCGCGTTCCGCGAATTTTATTATTGGAAACGAGGCAAATTATTTGCGCTTATTAGGAATATTTGTCCCGTTAGATTATCGGAAATCTCATTGCGTGACCCCGGCCGATCTATAAGACAGAAGGCTGCGCTGCGGTGGCGTGGCGGCAGTTTGGGCATCTCTCTCTCTCTCTCTCTCACTCTCTTTCTCTGCGTTTTTCATTAGCCGCGCGCTCGCGCCGGCCGTTTCTCGGGATAGCTAGCGACTTATTTCCTGCTGCAATTTTTGCTGGTGGCTCCGGGAAGTCAATTCGAAAGAGAGCGCCTACTCGTGAGAATGGCTATCAACGTCACGATCTCGTTTTATTGAAGTCGGCAAAACAACAAAAAACTTAATGAATTGTTTTAGGCTCTCCTTTTTCGACCGGTCAAAAGTCCAGCTTATACGACTTGAATGTTATCGAACAATTCACAAGAGCAACTTGGACATCCTTTGATGTCATTCATTATTGATTCTTGTCACACCTCAACCGTGCAAGGAATATTTCAAATGTCACTATAATATTTGATTTTTTAATTTATGCGAAAATCGAACGTCATTGGCAAACTATCGAGGTCTTACCATTACACACTTCTATGACGACACGTCTGTTTTTTAGGTAAAAATTTAATGTAAAATTCTACATTTGTATAATTCACCGTTATAATAATATAATATTTATATAATTATGTAATGTACTATGATTTGACATGTGATGCCATTTTTCACAGCCGAATAATTAATTAGCAAAATCTATCTAAATATATTGCAGTCGAATAAGAAAATTATAAAGCGGGATAAGTTATAAACTGACGCGACCTATTTGTAAAATGTTTACTTTTAATGGGGTGCGTTCGAAAGATCTAGGAAAGTAATCGAAATATAATGTTAGTTTATTGTAACTTCAAAATGATGCATTCAAAGTGTTCAAGGATATTATATCAATTTATCTGAACTGTCAAGCTTATAATACTATTTCTAAGATGCTTTCATGACAATTATCTTTCTAAAAACTTGAAAAGTAAATGAGGTTTGTATAAAACAACGTACTTTCGATGCGATAAAGCATAATGCCACATATATAGCCGCTACATATCGTGGTGAAACCGTTTACGTACTCGTCCGACGTCGATATATTTTCCAAGGATGTGCCAAACGCACACGATCTCATAGTACATTAGAGCGCATCCGGACGTTGGAACCTCGCGCTAAAAGGCCAACATCGTCGTATCCTTGTCGCAAAGGGCGATCGCTCGGCTTGCGAAGGTCGACAAGTTGTGCTAGAGATACAATTAGATTCCGTGCACCTGTTTACCTGGGCAATGTATACACAGCGCACTAATGGGCGCTAAGCTATTCCCAGAGCACATTATCGATCTCAGTTGAAAATACTGTTCGTTGCAGTGCTACGGGAACCTTGACTACTTGTTGCGTATTTTTGTAACGTGAAAAACGTTTGTTATTCAAATAAATGATCGAAAATGAGTAAATCCGTTATCAAGTTTTGCAAAATTTGACGGAACGACCGTTTCAAAAATACTTCGATATGGCTCTATCTTCGATGGTTTTGTATAGTATTTAACACTTCTTGGAGATAGATTCGTGTAATATACGAGTACACCAAATGAAATTCCATAAAATTTCTTATAAAAGAAAGAATCATACAGAATTCGCGAGAAGACAGAATTGCGTTACTTTTGAGGGAATGTTATAATCTTGCACAGCTTTCCAATGAGCATAGCATTATATAAAATAGCTTCTGAGTTATATGATACGAATGGCAAGCTTTGAAATCGTTCGTTGACTTGCATTCTCAACAAATACATAACCGTACCTTATGGCAAATGGGATAATTCGTCATCCCGAAAAAAAGAAAAAATTCCACGTAAGCGATAAAATCAGCCTAAGAAAGTGTCTTAAAATAATGACCTTAAATTACTGGAGAAAGGGCCGTGCGTTCAAACACGACCGCGCTGTCGCGTTCGTGTATGTGCGAATACGCGCGGCGAATGTTTAGTGTAATTTTCGGGGCGAGTTGTCGCACTTTTTTGCGCGCTCGCGTGTAGCGGCAGCGGCAGGCTGTGTCGGCCGAAATTTGCGGCTCGCGCGCGCATTTATTACGCCGTCGCTGGGCGCACGTGAGAATGACGTTTTAAGGTGGCCGCCGCACCGTGCCCCATAGGGCAATCCGAGAAGCTACGTACGAATGCGCACGCGAGATCCGCATCTGGAGCTCTTCATACAGAAAACAAGCCCGGCTACATACCTTTGACTTTGTGCCGACGGGCCGACGGGCCGACTGTTTCTTTTCTTTTCTTTTCTGTCTTGCGTGGCGTGTCGTCCTCTCGCCCCTTGAACTTAATTTTTTCATTCGCGCGTTAAAACGCTGCACGCGCCTTATAGCCCTCTCCTGGAATGCTGTCTTCGTTGACTCGCTGCGTGTGGGAATTTTTCTTTTCTCTTCCTCTTTGCATCTTGTACTAGTGCGCGAACCGCTGGAACGGTTATCAAAGATTACGCGAATGGCAATTCTCGAGCTTTGGTTATGAGACTTGATTACACGTTTGACTCGCCATTGAAACTGTCGACAACGGATGGTAGATCTGCACGTATGTACGGTTATTAATCAATTACAATGCAAAAGGTGTGTATGAAAATATGATAACAAAGGTCCGAATAATAAAGATGTGGTATACATTTGAAGTATGATTTTTTATTCATTTAAGCGTTTAAAAGTTCTGAATCACGTTTTATCGTGAAGTTTCCGTGCATTATTTAAATTGAACGAAGACACAGTCGCATTTTATCAAAGCACTTGCGCGGAAACGGTCTTCTCGTCTCCCGAGAGCGCAATCGAAGCGATCGTAATAACATAGCGAACGAAGTAGCATTTCGAAAAATTCACCGCACGCGCTGGAACAACTAACGGGCGCACAATCCAAGCGAGGCACTCTGCCACAGATCTTTCGTTATGCGAGCGCGCGAGTGCGAGATAATTACATCGCAGGTGTTGTTGCCATTAGTAACAATATCGGCTGGCATTATCTGGACGCGCGCCGACGCCGGGCGACATTAGCATAGAGCGCGAATATAGAAATAGGGGAAAATTAATTATGGCTTTGCGCGATGCACCTTCTTTCTCTTTCTCGTGCTGTGCACATACGCGCACAGCCGATCGCTATCTAAATAAGAACTTGGCGTGACTCTGCATAACGCCATCTCGTGCGCTCTTCGGACTTGGCGCGCGCTGTCAGATGGTAGATTCGAGTGCTTGAATTGTGCGCGCGCTTACAATCAGAAGAAGCGTTGCACTCGTCGCGTTGAATATCGCTGTACGGTCGAAGCGACGGCTTCGGACTGTCTCCGTGCGAGTGCAAACCAATCGGATTCATATTTTCACATAACGCAATTTTCTCCTCGCTGTACGTGTAGCGGCGCCGCTTATCGCTAGCTTTT